CCCCTCTCCGGGCACGTCGGTGCAAGGAGGGTCTGGGCTTGCATAAACAGCATGTTTAGGTGCCAAGTCCATGGGATCCGTGCCTTTTCCTTTTTAGCACAAATCCTGGGACACAATGTGTTTGCATAATTTATTTTTATTTTTAATCAAGAAGGCAAGATGTTTCAGCAGGATTTCCAGTCTGTGGCCGCGCTGTCTAACATGCCGAGAAAAGTGGTTGACGTGCGTCTCCCTGCTGCCTGGGGACGTGGGGACAATGCCCTGTCCTGCCCAGCCCCATGCAGGTTGTGTGGAAAAAGTGCTTTGGCCTGAAAGATGACAATAATTACAACTGTCTTTCATTCATTATGTGTGCACTCTTATTTCCAGTGAAATGGAAATTTCAGATTCAGAATTATTGCGAGCCAAATTACCTTTATCAGTGAAAGAGCATCTGCTCACAATTACTTGTAAAGTAGGAAAAATGAATCTTTTCAGCATATATGTTTGCAGCTCTGATGCCTAGAAATTGAAAGTAATGCCTGGAGTTTAGCAGTCCATTTTTCACCATGTTCAAAATAGGAGGCAGCCTTGCCAGAAATTCATTATGCACATTAGGTGGAGCTTGGAGAGCTGGGGGTTGCTACACTTCATCATGCTTCATTACTGCTTCCAGCAGAGACACACACACCCACACACACGCTGCACACAGCCACTGCCAGGCCAGGAAGGGTCAGCCTTGCGTGCCCGAGGGTGGAGGTTCCCTCGGCCTTAGAAAGCCCGTTTGGCCTGGGCTGCTCAGAGGAGCTGTCACCACAAGGGACCTCACCCCCATGGCTGCCACCACCTCTGCGTGGGTTTGGAGTTCATCTTTTTAGCTTCTCTTAAGAATTTGAAGTCCTGTTGGGGCAGGAGAGAAGGTGAGGCACCCAGGACGGGGTGGGTTCTTCTGGGATGGACAGTGCGGAAGCTGCAGCTTTTTGCTCTGTCTGGCAGCAGTGGGAGCCTTCTGGGGGACAGCAGGTGGTCTGGTTTGGGAGGTTCCTGAGAGGTGTTCTCTGAGAGTGGCCTCTGCTTTGGGCACAGCTGGCCTGGCTCTGAGTTTCCTGTCTGTCTGTCTCATCCAGGGCTAAGTACTCACCCAGCCACCCTGGCCTGTCCTCTGGCAGGGCTTGGCTCCGGTGCCGCTTCCACAGGCTCCCGGCTGGGCCTGGCCGTCTGGCATTGGGGTCCTTTCAAGGACTCAGAGGGCCTCCCTGTGCTGATGCCTGCCACCTTACCTCAGCTGCCTCATCTTGTGGGCCACAGACATGGGTGCCCTGGGTTAGGGCCAGGTGTGTGGCCTCCTCAGGGGGCTGCCCTGAGGGAGCCTGGTGCAGGGTGCTCACCCCACCCCAGGAGGAACAGGTCCGTCCTTGCCCTGTCAGCAGCAGGGGGGATTTAGGGCCTATTCTGTACCCCCACCACCTCTGGTCTCTGCCGCAGGGCAAACAGTGTTTCTTTCCATCTAGTTCTCCTTGGTTACTTTAGTGACTGTGTTCCCCAAAGAGGTGCTTAAAAATCAGATCTCTCTTTCTGTTTGCTGTTGAAAGGCAGCGTTTGTCCCCAGGCTCCCATAGAGCTGTGTGCCTGCCCACCTTGCGAGAAGGCAGCCATCTCCATGGCTGGCCACCGAGGCTGCAGGCAGAACGGCCAGGCAGCCCCGGGAACTCAGCCCCAGGGACACGCTGCCTGCTCGGCCCCAGCCCTGCCCTCTTCGTCTGCCACCTGCTTAGCAATGTGCATCAGCACTGATCCCAGTGCTTGGCCAGGTCCTACCCTGGAGGAAGTGGCTGCTTGGCCAGGTCCTGCCCTGGAGGAAGTGGCTGCTTGGCCAGGTCCTGCCCTGGAGGAGTGGCTGCTTGGCCAGGTCCTGCCCTGGAGGAGTGGCTGCTTGGCCAGGTCCTGCCCTGGAGGAAGTGGCTGCTTGGCCAGGTCCTGCCCTGGAGGAGTGGCTGCTTGGCCAGGTCCTGCCCTGGAGGAAGTGGCTGCTTGGCCAGGTCCTGCCCTGGAGGAGTGGCTGCTTGGCCAGGTCCTGCCCTGGAGGAAGTGGCTGCCTGGCCAGGTCCTGCCCTGGAGGAGTGGCTGCTTGGCCAGGTCCTGCCCTGGAGGAAGTGGCTGCTTGGCCAGGTCCTGCCCTGGAGGAGTGGCTGCTTGGCCAGGTCCTGCCCTGGAGGAGTGGCTGCTTGGCCAGGTCCTGCCCTGGAGGAAGTGGCTGCTTGGCCAGGTCCTGCCCTGGAGGAAGTGGCTGCTTGGCCAGGTCCTGCCCTGGAGGAAGTGGCTGCTTGGCCAGGTCCTGCGCTGGAGGAAGTGGCTGCTTGGCCAGGTCCTGCGCTGGAGGAAGTGGCTGCTTGGCCAGGTCCTGCCCTGGAGGAAGTGGCTGTCCAGCGGAGCTGGCTCACAAGCACTGAGTTACTGCTGCGCTCCCCAGCCTGTAAACCCGGCCTGTGGTACAGTGGCCGCTGGCACTGTGGGAGACAAACGCCCCTGTGGAACGCTCACTTGAGCCTGTGTTAGCAAAATTTGGGCCTGTTGCTAAAATGTGACTCACGCTGCAGCCTTTGATGCTCTTGGTAAACAGGAGGCATGGCCAGATGTGGCCAGTGGGCCAGCGGCAGGCCAGCCGAGGTGTCACACAGCAGGCTTGAGCCAGGTGCCCCAGCTGGGCTGGCTCCTGCAGGGGCCTTTTTGCAGGACGAGCACCTGCTGTCCTGTGGGGCCTCGCCGGGCGCCCGCCTCTCCCCCAGTGGCCCGCTGTGAGCTCAGGGAGCAGACCTGTCCTTTTCCCTTGCTCTGTCAGCAATGGTGGGGCCGCTTCTCTGTGTGGGCAAGTTGGGGCCTTGGAACTTGGCATCATTTGAGCTTTACACCTGCTTGTAATGTCAGCGAGAAATCAGTCTGTGAAGGAATTACATCAGGGGCTCCTGTCGAGCTCATCGGAAGCAGCTAGTGTGAAAATGTGGTGCTTGGTCTGGCTTGCGTGGATGTGTGTCAGAGCTCTTGGTCGATTGAAGCCAAACACGAGCTCCTGCCTGTCGGCTGAGTGTCCTGGTGTGTGCCCCTGCTGAGGGCCCTCTGGCCCCCACTCCACCTGGGCCTGCACTGTTGCCTCTCCCAGAGCCTGGCACAGGCGGCATGCACACATTCCTCTCCTCGGCTGCAGCCCTCACGGCCTGAGCACCTTGGCACACGTGTGGGGACCCCTGAGGACCCCTCACAGGGGTCCTGACCGGCAGCCTCCCCACAGGCTTTCCTGGGGCCAATGCAAGGGGTCCACATTCTTGTCCCACCACATGAAAGAGGGGATAAGGCACAGGTAAAAGTAACAGAGGACTAACTCCCCATCAAGCTGTCCCACCCATCACCTGGCCACACTTGTCCGGTCAGCTGCGGCTCTGTGGGTGAGGAAAATGGCACTGAGACTGCATGCCAGCCCAGCCAGGCCTCTCCTGCCTGCCACCGCGGCCCTGGGGAGCCTCTAGGATGTGGGGGTTCACGGGACAGGGTGCTTCCCTAACCCATTCCTCTCCTCAGTGCCCAGAACAGCCTTGCATCTGGAGAGTGTGCTGGCTCCTGATGGCAGCCATGTCCTAGCCTCACAGAGCTGGCACGATGGGAGAGGGCCTCGAGTCTGGGTAAAGTGGTCCTGTTCTGGCCAGGCCTTCACAGTGGAGCTGCTGGGATGCAGTGCAGGAAGCAGAGGGAGGCCTTGGGCAGTGCAGGGTCCTCATCTTCTGGGGTGATCCTCGCAAGACCTCACAGCCCCTTCCTGCAGATGCCCATGGGCAGCTGGGGGTGCGGGGCTGCCGAGCACAGAAGCAGGCCCCCGTGTTCGGTGCCTGGTTAGCATCAGGTGCTCCTGCAGCTTTCTGACCTTACTGTGCGTACCCTGCTGGGTTCTGGGCTGGTGGTCCACTCTGCTCACCTGCTGGGTTCTGGGCTGGTGGTCCACTCTGCTCACCTGCTGGGTTCTGGGCTGGTGGTCCGCTCTGCTCACCCTGCTGGGTGCTGGGCTGGTGGTCCGCTCTGCGCACCCTGCTGGGTTCTGGGCTGGTGGTCCGCTCTGCTCACCTGCTGGGTGCTGGGCTGGTGGTCCGCTCTGCTCACCTGCTGGGTTCTGGGCTGGTGGTCTGCTCTGCTCACCTGCTGGGTGCTGGGCTGGTGGTCCGCTCTGCTCACCTGCTGGGTGCTGGGCTGGTGGTCTGCTCTGCTCACCTGCTGGGTGCTGGGCTGGTGGTCTGCTCTGCGCACCCTGCTGGGTTCTGGGCTGGTGCTCTGCTCACCTGCTGGGTGCTGGGCTGGTGGTCCGCTCTGCTCACCTGCTGGGTTCTGGGCTGGTGGTCCGCTCTGCTCACCTGCTGGGTTCTGGGCTGGTGGTCCGCTCTGCTCACCTGCTGGGTGCTGGGCTGGTGGTCTGCTCTGCTCACCTGCTGGGTGCTGGGCTGGTGGTCTGCTCTGCGCACCCTGCTGGGTTCTGGGCTGGTGGTCTGCTCACCTGCTGGGTGCTGGGCTGGTGGTCCGCTCTGCTCACCTGCTGGGTTCTGGGCTGGTGGTCCGCTCTGCTCACCTGCTGGGTGCTGGGCTGGTGGTCCGCTCTGCTCACCTGCTGGGTGCTGGGCTGGTGGTCCGCTTTGCTCACCTGCTGGGTTCTGGGCTGGTGCTCTGCTCACCTGCTGGGTTCTGGGCTGGTGGTCCGCTCTGCTCACCTGCTGGGTGCTGGGCTGGTGGTCTGCTCTGCTCACCCTGCTGGGTTCTGGGCTGGAAGGCATCAGAGTTGCTGCTGTGTCACCCCTGTCATCACCGCCATCATCATCAGTGGTTTCCTGTAGAGGAAGGCAGCTTCAGGGTTGCTTAGCTGTTTTTCCCTTGGGGTGCTGCTTCGGATGCCCTGATGTTGGAGTGGGGGTCCCTGGGTGCAGAGTAGCTGCTGGGGTCCCCTGAGGGCTGCCCTGACGCCCTGGGGCCTGTGTTTCCTCCTGCAGAGCAAGTGCACCAGCACCTGGACCAGCACGAGGTGAGATACCTGCAGTTCGCCTTCCGCTGGATGAACAACCTGCTTATGAGGGAAGTGCCGCTGCGTTGCACCATCCGCCTGTGGGACACCTACCAGGTGAGCGCCTCGCACCCGCCCCGGCCTGGGCAGGCGCCCTCTCCCGGAGCCTGGCTGAGCAGTGGCTGAGCAGTGTGGCGGGCCATCCTTCCAAGCCACCTGCGCTTTGAGCTACTTGTAATACAATGGAGATTTTAAGAACCACAGGCCGAGGCAGTGCAACATGAAATTTTCCACTCTCCACCAATTTTGATGAAATTCATTTATTTCGGAGATTGAGTTTTCTGGAACCAGCCACCTTTGTTCCCTCGAGTGTCCCATTGCTTATTCTAGCACCTTTTTATTTTGTTCGGGTGTTTGCTGAAGCCGAGCCCAGGCCATGGGGCTTCAGGTACCAGCATTTCCTCATGAGCTGCAAATAGCAGGCCCCATTATGTGGAATTAGGAATCTTGTCTCTGAGCGCAAACCAGCTGTGCTGGGTCATGTTGTCTGTTGACAGGCAGGCAGCAGGTGGGCTCTTCCTGGCCTGAGTCCAGCCTGCCCGGTGGCAGGTGGGGCCATGGGTGGGCTGCTGCCTTTTCACGCAGGGACACGGGCTGGGGGTGTCCAGACAAGGGCCTTCCTTGTGGCAGAATGAGCCCCGTGGTTGTGGCTCAGAGTTGGAGCCTTGTGCACGTGGGCATGGCAGGGGCACAGCTCGGAGTGACCAGAGGGGGCCTGGGGGGTTGGTCTTTGGGGCCTGTCTGCCTCCAGGCTTCCGATTCTGAGCCCTTTGGGGCACTAGTGGGTCCAGGAGCCGTGCCCCTCAGGCGGGACAGGCACGTGGGGTTCCATAGTTGCCTTGCACAATCTTAGGAGCGTCTCACAGTTTCTGCTGTGGCTCGGCTCTCCCAGGAACTCGGCGGCGGCAGGGTGTCCGCCGTGCCTCACCTGTGACTGGTTGAAGCGGCTGCCCGCTAGTGGCGCTGGCTCGCCCTCTGCGGTATTCCAGGAAACACAACTCAATGCCCTCGTTAAACACCAGGTTCCTTGTAACGCTGTCCCCATTATGAGTAGATGAGGTAGTAAGCCAGTCGCGTTTTGAGGAGCCTGCAAATGGATTGGCTTGTGCACTACTTCGCTAAAACTCCTAATAGACATTAAAACTTTAAGCACAATTGCGGCATCTTTATTGAGTTAATTTTCCTGAAATTAAATTTTGTCATGAATTGACTCATTTGTACCATGGGCTCATTCTTGAACTGACAGTATCCTGATCATAAACCTTTTCATATCTTAAAAATTGGGGGTATTTCTATTTTACAGGGCCAAGTAACCATGAAATTGTATTGCATCTTTTGGCAATGAAAATATACAGTAATCATAGGATCGCAGTCGGGTGATTACTCTGCCCCAAACAGGGTGTTTATTCGCTGGGCCATTACAGGTTTGCATAGCTCTTTAACCCCTTGCAAGGTGGTTGTGTGTCAGCCAGAGGCTGCTGACCAGCCTGAGCGACACAGCAGCATGGGCATGGCCGAGGCGCGTGGTCCCTGATGTGGACTTGGGGACGCCCCCGGAGGGACCCGCCCCCGGCGCCTGCATGCCGGTCACGTGGGTGGGCCTCAGCCTTTCTGTGCTGTGCACAGTGGCATGGTGTTCTGCTCCTGGACCCCCAGGCTGTGACCCAGGCGCCCAGGCTGAGCTAGCCCACACCTGGGTGCTGGGTGAGCGAGCAGCCTGGGGAGTTTCCTTCTAGCTCTGCTGCCGATCTCTTCCTGTCTCAGCCAGGTGGCTGCTTGCTCAGTCCGCCTCCCCCTCCATCCTCCTTGCCTGCCCCGCAGCTCTTCTGTGTTGTCTTGGGGTGCAGATCTAGAGGGGCTTGTGTTTCAGGGAGTAAGCAGCCCTGGGATCTGGGGGGGAGGCTGACCCAGCACTCTGAGGGCTGGTGGGGAGCCAGGCCTGCCCCCCAACTCTGAGTGTCTGCGTCCAGCACTAATGCCCTCCCAAGTGGTGCTGGTGACAGGCTCAGATGGCCAGGGGCGGCTGGGCCCTCAGCCTCACTCACCTAGGCCGGCCCCTCCCTCTCTGCAGCCCCGTCTGATCTGGGGGGAGCAGGCTGAGGCAGCCTGTGGCTCTGAGGGTGCTCCGACCGCTGGGCTCCATCTGGGCAGTGTGCCCTGGGAGCTGCTGAGTGCAGGGCGCAGTGCGCCTGCCTCACATGAGCGCCTGTGGCAAGGCCTGCCTCAGAGTATCAAGGCCACCTGTAGACCTTGGCCGTCCCGTCTCTGGCCACGTGACAGCCAGGAGGTGCCATGCCTTTCTGAGCGGCTGCACTGAGACAGCATTGACCACCAGTGCTCTGCCAGGGAGAGTGGGTACACGTCTGTGCCCAGGGTGAACAGGCCAGCTGTGCACAGGAGCGCCTTTCCTCCTGTTCTGTAGTTAACTCCAAAATGGATATTGTTGTTAATTAAGTTTTTTAAATTTTATTTTTCTTTGAAAGAGAGGGAGAGCTCTGTCTTCCCATCCCCTGATCCAATCCCCCGATCTTGCAGCAAGCAGGGCTGGGCAAAGAGCACGAAGGAGCCTGGCGCTGCTCGGGCGTTTCTAGGTTGACAGGGACCCGCCTGGCCTTTGCCTGCTGCTCTCAGGGTGTGTTAGCAGGGTCAGAGGGAAGCTGGACTGGAAGCTGACAAGCCCACGGACAGGGCAGTGCCCGAACCACTGGTAAATAGTGCTTCTAGGGTTGTGCTCCTAACTGTCAGGAGGGGGCGGGCCTCTGGCCTCCACGTTAGAGCTGGCACTGGAAGATCCGGCCCGCAGCAGCCACCCCAGGGAAGGCAGTGGGCAGAGTGAGCCCCTCTGGCCTCCACGTTAGAGCTGGCACTGGATGATCTGGCCCGCAGCAGCCACCCCAGGGAAGGCAGAGGGCAGAGAGTAACCCCTCTGGCCAGCGCGTGAAAGCTGGCACTGGATGATCCGGCCCGCAGCAGCCACCCCAGGGAAGGCAGTGGGCAGAGAGTAACCCCTCTGGCCAGTGCGTGAAAGCTGGCGCAGGAAGGTCCACCCGCAGCTTGGGCCTTCTTTCCTGATCTTAAAGTTGGCAGCTGGATCCTCCCCCAGGGTGGACATTTGTTCTAGAAACTGCGGTTCAGTGCCTGCTGTGCAGCCGCTCTGCAGTCAGATTGGGCAGCAGAGGGAAGGGGCCAGCATGTCCTTGTGCTCGGGCACCTGCTGGGTGTGAGATGGCGAGAGGCTGCAAGAGGAAGGCACGAGGAGGCCGGGGTCGCCTAGGAGTGGGAGCGGGGGAGGAGTCGGTCCCGAGGGGTGAGTGACAGGGACACTTAGATCCCAGAGTGGGGCTGGGGCCATGGTGGTGGCAAGTGGGGACCCGCCTGCAGCGTCCACGGGACGGTGGCTGAGGCCAGTGACTCGGCCCTGAGTGGGAGGAGAGGGGCTTGGTGACCACCGGGGGGAGCGGTAGCCATGTCCACTCGGGATTCCTGCGTCTCAGATGACCTGTGCAGTGGATCGGCTGCCTGCAGGTGCACGCCGGTCCCTGGTCACGTGTGGTCACGCATGTGTCTCCCAGCCTCGACAGCCACGCTTGTGCGTCTGTGGTCACGTGTGTGTTCCTAGCCTGGACAGGTTTGGGAGCCTGGGAGCAGTGGCCCCTGGGTGTCTGACTGGTCCTGGTTGCCTTCTCCAGGAAGGGGCCCTGGGCTCCTCAGGGGACTAGCTGGTTATTGGGGTGGGAAAGGAAGAAAGTGCCAGGTCGCCTTCCCTGATGGGTGCTTGAAGATACCAGGACAACACTGTGCCTTCTGAGCAGCGGAAGTGGGTGGAGTGGGATTGCATGGCGTGTGAGGCACTGTCCGTGGGTCTGCTTTGACGTCCATGAGTGAGATAAACCGTGCTGGCAGAGAATTCCCAACATGTGCTGGGGCACGCAGTCGAGAAGGGAGGAGGCAGTGACCCCGCGGGTTCCTGACCCGCTCAGCCGTGCCCGGGCTCAGGTCAGGCCATCGCAGTGGACCTGCTGCTGTGTGTGATGAGCAGGGCAGCCCACCCCGTGGGGCTCCTGCAGTGCTGGCCAGCTGCCCTGCTTCTCTGTTGACTAGGGGCCTCCCGTGGCAGGCGCGTTCAGGCGCCAGGCCTCGGAGCGTGTGGCCCACACAGCAAGAATTTGCCGCCTTGGTTCTGGAGGCAGAGAGGAGAGGGTCGAGGGAAGGGGCTTGCACATAGCTGTCCCTCCCTGTGGCCTCCCGTGGCCTTTCCTTGGTCTTCCTCAAGTTCTCCTAGAAAAGACTTGAGACCTGTGACTGAGTTTACCATATTTTGCTCCTTAAATCTCCAAATACAGTCCCATCAGGGTTAGAACATCAACCTGTGAATGTGGGTGGATACAGCAGTTCAGTTTGTGGCAGCTTGGCTGGAGTACCCGACACTGACCCCTGGCCTGGGCAGGTCATATGGCAGGCTGCTGTCATGTCCCTCAGCTCAGCCACTCACTGTGCCCCGTGCCTGGCCCCTCCGTAGTCCTCTAAGGGGACAGGAGCTTGCATCACGTCGGAAAGCCACTTTGCTGGTGAGGGAAGCCTCCAGCGGGCCCTCGGCAGGCTTCTGGCCGGCCTCCAGCGTCCACCCTGCCTGGTGCCCCCCAAGCCGGGGTGCGTGGTAGCCTGGCTCCCGAGGGCCTCCCTCAGCACTGACTCAGTGCTGTTGCCTGACATTGCTTCTGGCTTATCATCAGTACCAGCAGGTCTGAGCTGCGGCTGACTCGAGGCCTCAGCCGTGCCTCCCAGGGCCTGACATTGCAGCAGCCCGGTCCCGCTGGCTGCCAGTGACCTCGGGGGGCCTGGCAGGGTCCCCAATCCCCAGCATTCCTCACCAGCTGGGCCCTGAAATGGAGACTGCCTTTTGGTTGGGAGCCAGCCAGAGCTTGGCCCTTTCCTCTGGAGGGTTCTTCGTGGGGTGTCAGGGCTAGGGCCACGGGGTGGAAAGCAAGGAGATGCGGGTCAGTTTCCCGTGCCAGGGCAAGCTAGCATGCACGGCCCGTCAGCAGCCCTGTGGGTTT